AGAACTAAGAATTGGTAATAGGAAGGCAAGGGGACAGTTCACAACTACAAAAAGCTCACTAATTAATGTATTAAAGCGATCAGTCTAAATTGTATTTCCATTTGTAAATTACTGAATCAATTTAAGTGTTATAGCACTTAAAGATTCCCATATTTAAAACTACTTTCATTGGCTTGTCTCCATTCTGCCCCTTGTGTCTTTGGGCAAATTCTACAGGGTCTTGAAGATATTCTTAGACTCCTCCCTTGCACTTATGCTAGACCAAAACACCTTTCGGATACTCAAAATGTATATTGGTATAATTAAAGTATTTATTTTAAACTTATTTGTTTAAACATGGCTTCTCCACTAGATTGTAATCTTTTAAAGTAGATACCATGGCTGATATGTTGTACTTACAACTTCAAATACAATGCATATCACTTGATACTGAGTATCAAATCTTTATGGATGACCTAAAAATGTCTCTTCTGGCAACCTTGTCTTTGAATTACAATAGCTATTAAGAGTTGACTGGTCTGGTGCGTTGTTTCACACCTGTAATCCCAGCACTTTGGGAGGCCGAGGCAGGTGCATCATTTGAGGCCAAGAGTTCGAAACCAGCCTGGCCAACATGGTGAAACCCCATCTCTACTGAAAACACAAAAATTGCTGGGCACAGTGGCTCACTCCCGTAATCCCAGTACTTTGGGAAGCCAAGGCAGATGGATCGGATGGATCACTTGAGGTTAGGAGGGGTTCAAGACCAGCTTGATTGACATGGAGAAATCCATGTCAATAGGTTTCTAAAAATAAAAAATTAGCCAGGCATGGTGGCGCACGCCTGTAATCCCTGAGGCAGGAGAATCGCTTGAACCTGAGAGGCAGAGGTTTCAGTGAGCCGGGATTGCACCATTGTACTCCAGCCTGGGCAACAAGAGTGAAACTCCGTCTCAAAAACAAAACAAAACACAGCCACATAAAATTAGCCAGATGTGGTGGCATGTGCCTCTAATCTCAGGTACACCAGAGGCTGAGACAGAATTGCTTAAACCCAGTAAGTAAAGGTTGCAGTAAGCCAAGATTGCGCCTTTGCACTCCAGTCTGTGCAACAGAGCAAGACTGTCTCAAAGAAGCAAAAACAAAACAAAAAGAGTTGACTGTGCTTGATTTTCCCAAGATACTGTCTACTTTTAGGGTACCAATTTAGATAAATGTATCTTGGTCTTCTTTGTAGGTCCTCCCTTCTCAGTTTCTAAATTTTCAAGTTCCCAAGTCTTGTCCAAAGTCCTTTTTTTCCCTTTTTACACTTTCTCCCATAGCTCAGATATAATCTATATGGGGGTTACCAGCCACTCGTATTTCATTTTAAACAAAAAGTTTAAAACCAAAAAATAAATACATGTTTAAGAATAGAAAGCTTCTCAAATAATATAAAGAAAGAAAACTATTTTTGTATGGCTGTACAATGTGTTTGTGGTTAAAAGTCAAAACGTTTTAAAAAATTAAAATATTTATAAAGTTTCTGTAGCCTGAGAATACAATGTTTATGAAGTCTACAGTATTGTGCCGTAATGTCCTAGGCCTTCACATTCATTCACCACCTACTGACTCATCCAGAGCAACTAACGTAGAGTTTTGTGAGCTCCACTTATGATAAGTGCCCTATACACATGTACCAGTTTTTATCTTTTAGACCATATTTTTATTGGATATTTTCTATCTATGGATATGTTTAGATATACAAATGCTTATGCCTACTGCATTCAGTATAGTAACATGCTATACAGGTAAGTAACCTAGGAACAATAGGTTGGGCTATACAACCTAGATGTGTGT